ACTGCATTTTGGACTCTTTCATTAACTATGAGGGCTACTCCATTTATTCTAAGAGATTCTTGCCCACAGTAGCAGACATAATGGTCATCTGAATTAAATTTGCCCATACTCATCCATCTTAGTTCACTGGCTGCCACAATAACCCCATGAACAGTACAAAAAGGCATTTTAGTTCACTGATTCCTAAGATGCCGATGTTCACTCTTGCCATATCCTACTTGACCATGTCCAGCGTACATTGATTCATGGACCTAACACTCCAGGTCCCTATGCAATGTTCTTCTTTAGAGCATCAGACTTAACTTTCACCGCCAGACACCTCCACAGCTGAGCGTCATTTGCTCTTTGACCCAGCGGCTTCATTTTTCCTGGAGCTATTAGTAACTGTCCTCCCTTCTTCCACAGTAGCATGTCGGGCACCTTCTGACCTGGGGAATTCTTCTTTCAGTGTGACATCTTTTCGTCTTCATGTACTGTTCATGGGGTTCTTGCAGCAGGAATACTGGAGTGGTTGCATTTCCCTCCTCCAGAAAATCACATTTTGTCAGAATTCTCCACTATGACCCATCCATCTTGGGTGACACTGAATGGCATGACTCAGAGCTTCATTGAATTATGCAAGCCCCCTCACCACTTCAAGGCTGTGATACATGAAGGGGAGAACCACGCCAAAAACATGCTCTGGTCATAATAAACACCATTTTCCAACAACAACAAATCCTTTCCAGCAATCCCTTTCCCACACCTTTTTCCAATACAAGAGATGACTCTACACATAGACATTACCAGATGGTCAATACCAAAATCAGATTAATTATATTCTTTGCACCCAAAGATGGAGAAGCTCTATACAGTCAGCAAAAACAAGACTTGGAGCTGACAGTGACTCATTTCATGAGTTCCTTGTTGCAAAATTCAGGCTTTCATTGAAGAAAGTAGGGAAAACCACTATGCCATTCATGTTATTACCTAAATCAAATTTCTTATGATTATACAGTGTAGGTGATAAACAGATTAAAATGACTAGATCTGGCAGATGGAGTGCCTGAAGAACTATGGAAACAGGTTCCTAACATTGTCCAGGAGGTGGTGACCAAAACCATCCCAAAGAAAAAGAAATGCAAGAAGGCAAAGTGGTTGTCTGAGGAGACTTTACAAACACCTGAGAAAAGAAGAGAAGCAAAAAGCAAGGGAGAAAAAGAAAGATATACCCAACAGAATGCAGAGTTCCAGAGAACAGCAAGGAGAGATAAGAAGGCCTTGTTCAATGAACAATGCAAAGAAATAGAGGGAAACAATAGAATAGAGATCTCTTCAAGAGAATTGGAGATATCAAGGGTACATTTCATGCAAGGATGGCCATGATAAAGGACAAAAACAGTAAAAACCTAACAGAGATTAAGAAGAGGTGGCAAAAATACACAGAAGAACAATACAAAAAAGGTCTGAATGACTGGGATAACCAGGGTGGTATGGTCACGCACTTAGAGCCAGACATCCTGGAATGTAAAGTCAAGTGGGCCTTATGAAACATTACTATGAACAAAGCTAGTAGAGGTGATGGAATCTCAGCTGAGCTATTTAAAATCCTAAAAGATGATGTTGTTAAAGTGCTACACTCAATATGTCAGCAAATTTAGAAAATTCGGCAGTGTCCACTGGACTGGAAAAGGTCAGTTTTCATTCCAACCACAAAGGAGGGCAGTGTCAAAGAATATTCAAACTATTGGGCAATTGCACTCATTCCCCATGCTAGTAAGGTTATGTTAAAAATCCTTTAAGCTAAGCTTCAGAAGTATATATACTGAGAACTTCCAGATATACAAGCTGGGTTTAGAAAAGACAAAGAAATCAGAGATCAAATTGCCAACATTTGTTGGATCATACAAGAAGTAAGGGAATTCCAGGAAAACATCTACTTCTGCTTCATTGACTAGGCGAAAGCCTTTGACTGTGTGGATCACAACAAACTGTGGAAAATTCTTCAAGAGATGGGAATACCAGACCACCTTACCTATCTCTTGAGAAACCTATATGCAGGTCAAGAAGCAACAGTTAGAACCTTACATGGAACAACTGATTGGTTCAAAATTGGGAAAGGAACTTGATAAGGCTGTAGATTATTTAACTTACATACAGAGTACATCATGGGAAATGCTGGGCTGGATGAATCACAAGCTGGAATCAAGATTGCTGGGAGAAATATTAACATCAGATATGCAAATGATACCACTCTTACAGCAGAAACCAAAGAGGAACCAAAGAGCCTCCTGATGAGGGGAGTGAAAAAGCTGTCTTAAAACTCAACATTAAAAAAATCTAAGATCAAGGCATCTGGTCCCATCTCTTCATGGCAAGTAGAAGGGGAAAATAGAAACAGTGACTGATTTCTTTTCATGGGCTCCAAAATCACTACAGATGGTGACTGCAGCCATGAAATTAAAGAAACTTCCTTCTTGGAAGGAAAGCTATGACAAACCTACACATCATATTAAAAAACAAAGACATAACTTTGCCAACAAAGGTCCGTACAGTCAAAGCTATGGTTTTTAGAGCAGTCACTTATGGAGAGTTGGACAATAAAGAAGGCTGAGCAACAAAAAATTGATGTTTTTGAATTGTGGTGCTGGAGAAGACTCTCCAAAGTCCCTTGAACTGCAAGGAGATCAAATTCATCAATCTGAAAGGAAATCAACCCCCAATGTTCATTGGAAGAACTGATGCTGAAGCTGAAGCTCCAATATTTTGGCCATCTGATATGAAGACCTGACTGATTGGAAAAGACCCTGATGCTGAGAAAGATTGAAGACAAAAGGAGAAGAAGGCAGCAGAGGATAAGATGGTTNTTTCCCCATCTATTTGCCATGAAGTGATGGGACCAGATGCCATGATCTTAGTTTTCTGAATGTTGAGCTTTAAGCCAACTTTTTCACTCTCCTCTTTCACTTTCATCAAGAGGCTGTTTATTTCTTCTTCACTTTCAATGGACATGAACTTGAGCAAATTCTGGGAGGTAGTGGAAGACAGGGAAGCCTGGTGTGCTGCAGTCCATGGGGTAGCAAAGAGTTGGACACAACTTAGTGACTGAACAAGAGCAACTTGTCTCACTCTATCTTTACTAATCGATTCAAGGCAGTTACTGAGAGTTGCCACCATCCCCTACCCATTCCTGTCCAGACATCCTGGGAGGCAAGAGGGACTGATCCTCAGTATCTTAACTTTATTTCTGAAAACTAAAGATATTTTGTCCATCCTTCTCAACAGTTCACAAGCTGTCACAATTTTACCTATTGATTCCTAGAAGCATATTCACAGCTATGTCAACAAAATCTCTCACCTACCGCACAAACTGCACACCCAACCTTCAGAGAAAGCTAAAGAGTCCAGTACAGATGACTTTTTTAGCTATTAGATTGAACCATATGACATTTCCATTTTTGCAGGTCAGAAACAGTTGAATATTGACAATGGAACATAGCTCCATCTTATATGCATCAGCCTATTGAAATCACTTAAGAAGGAAATCACCTTTCATTCTTATAAATCATCCCAGATGTCCCATAAGAAGGTTTTACATGGGTTTTAGTTAGAAAAGTATAGAGACTAGATCGATGAATACATTGTGGTACATGTAGAAGACTAAAATATGGTTATCAAAGGGGAGAAAGGAAGGAGGGATAAGTTAGGAGTTTGGGATTAGCATATGCACACTACTGTATGCAAGATAGATAAACAACAAAGATCCACTGTACAGCCAGGGAATTATATTCAATACCTTGTGGCAATCTATAATGGAAAAGAATCTGAAAAAGACTCATATATATATATATATGTATATATATATGATATGATATGCATATATATATATATATATACACACACACAAATCATTGAGCTATACACCTGAAACACAAAATTATAAATCAACTATCTTTCAATTTCAAAAAATAAAGTGTGCTATATACATACAACACTAGAGAACTTTAGTTTTAAAAACTTACTCAATAAAAAATTAATCTATATGGATGAACAAGAGAACAGACAGTAAGTTGAGTGAAAGAAGCCAGATACAAAGAGATACATGCTGTCGGATTCAATCTGCACAAAGGACCAGATCAGATGAAACCATTTGATGGTGACAGACGCTGGAAAGGTCATAGGAGGAAACATACAGAATGCCTGAAGTATTCAGTTATCTTGAACTATGTCTTGGTCATTGGGCTTTAAACACATATGAAAATCCATATAGCTGCATCCTTAAAATAAGCACCCCTTATCCACTTTGTATATGGATATGGATTTTATGTATGCATGTGCTGAGCACTTAGTCACGTCCAAATCTTTTGCAATCCCATGGATTGTAGCCCACCAGGCTCCTCTGCCCATGGGATTTCCCAGGCAAGAGTACTGGAGTGGGCTGCCATTTCCTCCTCCAGGGATCTTCCCAACTCAGGGATTGAACCTGAGTCTCCTGCATTAGCAGGTGGATTCTCTACCACTGAGCCACCGGGGAAGCTCCCATGGGTTTTATACAACCCAAGTAAAATAGAGAAGATAAATCACAGTCTGTGGACTGCCTGCCCTGTCCCCTGCTTCATCATACAGGTTAGCAGAGTGGGTAAGCACAGGCTCTCAAGTTAGATAAAAATCAGCCTGCACCTAACAAGATATTTGAACTTTGAAGACACACTTAACCTGTCTAAGCCTCAGTATTCTTAACTCTGAAAAGGAGCTTGACAATGACATCTACCTTACAGAGTTTGAGGGGACTTCAGTAAGACTCTTTAAAAGGCACATGGCATGAAGTATATACTCAAGGATGGCCACTGGCTACCAGCAGCAACACTGGCAGCCGAGTCTGTAAAGAGACATCCCTGCACCTGTCTCCCCCACACACATATACATCCGTTTCCGGAGAATTCCTCCCCTGACCAGCTCTCACTCCCCACATGCTGAGCACTAACCCCTGGGCCCCCGCCCAGCCTCAGTGCCTCACTCACCAGCAGGGCATCCAGGAGGTTGTGGTCCTCTGTGAAAGTGATGACCACAGCAGTGATGTCCAACACGCTGAGCTCCAGCACGGCGGTGCTGATAGAACCTGCATCCCGGGTCCAGCCCACCTGGAAGAACACGGCCACCTTCCTCAGGAGGGGGCCTGCACGCAGGCGCTTGAATACGTGTCTAACCACAAACCTCACGGCGTCCCCAAGGTGCCTGCTGCCAGATGAGCTTGCCGGCGAGAGCCCCCTGACCGCCTGCAGGAGCGCGGGCCTCCCCTTGCGGTCAGAGAGGCGAACCAGGTAATCGGTTCCGTTGCCATAGGAGACAACGGCCACCTGGGCACCCGTGGGGCAGTCACTCCCACTGATTTCCATCTTCATCAGCAGAGACAGTAAAATGTCTCTCATCCTCTCACAATCCAACTGGGAGACGTCATCTGACATGTCCAAGGCGAGGACTACCTCAGTCGGGAACACTGGGCATTTGGAAACGCCTAGACATGGGTGAAGGCCAGAATGAATATTAACAAACGTTATTTACCTGCTGAACATGCTGGAAGGGAAATGATTTGGGAGAGAAAAGAGGACATTGTTAATTGACATAGGCAAAGACCTGTTTGCCAGCATCAATATGAAAACCATCTCCTTTGAGAACTTCAAGCCTCTGTGACTCCGGCCTGAGTGTGGCAGAGACCTCAGCTTGCTCTCCAATACCCACTCCCCACTTTTGCTCATAGTGAAAAAACCCCAGTCTCTGACTGGGTGTGTGGCTGCCTGCAACAAAGGCTACATTTCTCAGTGGGATAGCATCTTACTCCAAAAAGTATACTTTTCCTTTCCTTTACCTGCTGGCTGAAGCTTGACAGACATTTTGGGTCATGAGGTGATATGCGAAACAGCATCCCCACCCCAATGCCAGAACAGGAAAATTTATATTATAATATATAATTTATATTATTATAATATATATTGTATAATAAAGAGCCTGTACACTCCACCAACTCCAGACTGAACTGTCTCAGGCTCTGATTCAAGAACTATGTTTGTGTCCTTGCTTTTGAGTGCTGAGTCACACTGTACTGAACTTAAATATAATACACTGAGCTACTCAGAAACTATATACACACACACACACATACATATATGTATATACACCTATCTTAAACCATATATACAGCAGAACATAGCAATATTAGTAATTAAGTATTAATATTGTGTGTGTTAGTTGCTCAGTCATGTCTGACTCTCTGTGACCCCATGGACTGTAGCCTGCCAGACTCCTCTTTTTTCACTTCATATATGATGAACATCTATTCTTTCCATCAATAAATTTAGAGCAATATCATCTGGAGAACTATGATGTCTCAATGCCGGCGAGAGCCCCCTGACCGCCTGCAGGAGCGCGGGCCTCCCCTTGCGGTCAGAGAGGCGAACCAGGTAATCGGTTCCGTTGCCATAGGAGACAACGGCCACCTGGGCACCCGTGGGGCAGTCACTCCCACTGATTTCCATCTTCATCAGCAGAGACAGTAAAATGTCTCTCATCCTCTCACAATCCAACTGGGAGACGTCATCTGACATGTCCAAGGCGAGGACTACCTCAGTCGGGAACACTGGGCATTTGGAAATGCCTAGACATGGGTGAAGGCCAGAATGAATATTAACAAATGTTATTTACCTGCTGAACATGCTGGAAGGGAAATGATTTGGGAGAGAAAAGAGGACATTGTTAATTGACATAGGCAAAGACCTGTTTGCCAGCATCAATATGAAAACCATCTCCTTTGAGAACTTCAAGCCTCTGTGACTCCGGCCTGAGTGTGGCAGAGACCTCAGCTTGCTCTCCAATACCCGCTCCCCACTTTTGCCCATAGTGAAAGAACCCCAGTCTCTGACTGGGTGTGTGGCTGCCTGCAACAAAGGCTACATTTCTCAGTGGGATAGCATCTTACTCCAAAAAGTATACTTTTCCTTTCCTTTACCTGCTGGCTGAAGCTTGACAGACATTTTGGGTCATGAGGTGATATGCGAAACAGCATCCCCACCCCAATGCCAGAACAGGAAAATTTATATTATAATATATAATTTATATTATTATAATATATATT